GACATTTGCATTGCAGATGCGCGCGTCACCAGCGGGGTGAAACATTGTTGCAGCACACTACAGACTTTGCTGATTCGTCCAGATTGTTACACCGCAGACCCCTTGGTTGCAATTGTGACATAGCAACTTATTCGCTACTTTGAGTGAGCGAGGCGTGGAATGGAATTTGGGTTTACACACCGGGCGTGGCAGCCTGTGGCTGAATCCACCTTGGGCCGAACTCCGGACCGCACTTCCACGTATTGTGAATGGCGCAGGGTCTACCACTTTAACCTGTGCTTGCCCCGTGACAGCACCGGAGGCACCACTGCAGACCCGAATGTTACGCCCGTCTCCTACGCGTCCCATTACATATGGCAATTCCGGGATTGGCGCCGCGTGGTTATCAACGACTTGGTGTCCCGCGCACATACATTGGATCGATAGATTTCGTGTCTAATGGAGTTTCGTCCTCGTCGGCGTCTTCAGATGGCGCGTGGCGTGAACCTTCTCCCCCACCGAGCTATAATCCCAATTTTGATTGGAACAAGTCTGATTGAAGCTTGGACGGAATGTCGGTCAAAACATTGCGGCGAGCCTGTTGAGTTTTCCATCTTGAGTGCTTTGCTTACGACATTTTGATCGATTGCTTCCATTCATGTCATTGCTGCTGGAAACATGCGGTGACACTGAGCTTCCTGCGTGCTAACATGATCCGATTTGCTTGGTGCTTGATCTTGGGTTGCCTTGCCTTGTGTTGTGCTATCTCCATGTCCATGCTTTCGCAGACTCCTTTTGTCTCATATAGGCCGATTCGGCTGTTATGTTCAATTCGACAATATTTGGCACTGACAGATGGTCTGTCCCGTGCTACTTTGAGTATGACATCGTGAATGGCCCTGCAAACACAAGAGTTGAATGGATTCGAGTTTATGTACCAGGTCCGTGGCAACCTGTCGCTGATTCCACTTTGGGACCAGCTCCGGATAGCGCATCAGCCTAGCGGGAATGGCGCAGGTTCTACCACTTCGAAGTGTATTGCCCTCGTAACAGCACGGGAGGCGCAACTCTGGATTCTTTCTCCCAGCCGGTCTCCTACGCATCCTTTTATACATGGCAATATCGTGACTGGCGCACCAGAGGATACCAAAGACTCGGCAATCCGCACCCGAACATTGCGGCCAGTTTTCCCTTCGAGATGCACGCTGGATTGTCTTCTTCGTCAACATCCTTGATCTCAGATGGTGATTGACGACCTGCCTCACCTCCCTATGATCTTGAATTTGATTGGAGTGAGCGGCGTCGAAACCTGTGTCGCGTTTGGCTGCAAACCGCCGCGGTTGGTGCTGCGTGCGCTGCGAGTGTTGGATTGATTGTTTTGCGGTTGACTGGCATGTTTGGTGACACATGGCATGAAGGGTTCGTTTCCTGCAGCCGTGTTCTTCTCGGTTGTGCATCTAGGTTTTGAGTTGTCATGCCGTGGCTGGAGTGGTGCCCGGATCCTCAGCAACCCGGTGCTCAATGGGTCAAGATTTTTCATCCGGGATCCTGGACACCACAAGATGAACGTGATGATCCGCCTCCGCGCCACACATACAGAGAGTGGAAGGAGTTCCATGCTCCAAACCTGGCCCACGACGATGACCAGCCCACCAGACGCACCTGGTACAAGAGGGACTGGACCACGGAGGGCTACCAGCGTGTTGCAGCTTCTGAAGCTGTTCAAGACTTCAGTTCGATGTTTCCTCATCAACATAGCGTGGCCACGCAATCATCGGCTTTGTGTATGTCTCCGCAGATGTTGGATGCGATTCTTCGATCTTCGGATGCTTCGGCTTTCTCTACTGAGGATCTCACTCGTCTTCAAGCAGGGATCTGTCAGCAGCTGTCGGATCGCGCGCGTCAAGAGTCTTACCAGCACCAACCAGTACGTACTTCCCGGGGCGTTGAACCACCTGAGTCTATTGGGGTCGCTGATCCATATCTGCCTGCAAGCCAACCAAGTAGCTCTGCCACCAAGGAGAAGCCTATCTTCGAGCTAGTTGCTGAGTAGACTGATGAGTTTTGACCGTGGTACAAAATGGTGTTTTCACATTCTCTTGCTTTCATGTGTGCTTGTTGGTTGTGCATGGTTGTGCATGGTGACTGTCTCCTTGCTAGCTGGATCGGAACCTGTGGTGCGCCCTATCTTTCACTTCGACATGGATACAGATGATGCAGCTCAGACGTCGGCCCGGACTGACACTCAGCACCCGTAGGGTCGTGAATGGGTGCGGATCTACACTCCGGGACAACTTCAGCTATGGCACCCTGATGATGAAGTGCCCGACCTGCCAGAGAACATCGGGAGTGGAAAGGTGACCGATCCAGATGAAGAGACTCAGGAACCAGGCCAAGCATGGACTATTCGAGATTGGCAACATCAAGGATATCAACGGATATTGTCCCGCTATGAGTCTTTCTCCACCCATCATGCTCCGGATCAACCACTTGTTGACGTGCCAAATCCGGACATGATCCGGGTCGAAGAGATGTTCACCTCCCATTTCTGACGGTGATCGTCCGACAGCTTTGCAGCTTCCGCCTATCTTCCATGGCGGCACACGTCTTGCTCATCTTGGAGATCTTTCGTCCCCGTTTTCTGAGCGGCCTCGTGCGGAGCGTGCAGTTTCGCGCTCTCCCCGCCGCAGTGGATATTTTGGTAGACGTTAGACTTGATGAGCCGATTGCGTGATCTTCCGACTGGAACAAAAGATTTTCGCCCCTCCCTGAGGGGCGTGTGTGCGCGGAGTGACAGAATACCCTGTCACCACAGTTTCTTGCACAGGGGGATGCCGGCAACCTGTGCGGTCGGCATCCAACGAAGACGCCGCACTTGTCCTGTGATATCGAGGCTGATCACCTCGACGTAGCTGTGCATCTCGTGTGATTCAAAGACCTTTTGGCCCGTTGTTTCTCTTGCTGTGTGTGCTTCATGTTGAATTTGTAACGTTTTCGCTGCTAGACGGAAACCAAGTGACTGCAAGCCGAACCTACACCTACTCGAGACTCATCAGTTGTACTCGAGACTCATCAGTTGTACTCGAGACTCATCAGTTGTACTCGAACGATTAGAACCCTCCATCTGGAGTCTAAGTGTGTGTGTTTGTGTTTGTGTCTGTGTGTGTGCGTGTGTGTTTGTGTGTGTGTGTGTGTGTGTGTGTGTGTGTTTGTGTGTGTGTGTGTGTGTGTGTGTGTGTGTGTGTGTGTGTGTGTGTGTGTGTTTGTGTGTGTGTGTGCGTGCGCGCGCGCGTGCGTGCGCGTGCGTGCGTGCGTGCGTGCGTGCAAAGTGTTTTTGTCTGATGTGGATGTGTGCTGTGCTTTCTGCCCTTGTGTGATCGTAAGGACATGCCGCTCGTTTTGTTGTCCGCGTGCAGGCGCCAGACGTCGTCCTCTTTCTGCCAAGTGAACAAGTCAATTTCATCCCTCTCACAAGCCTATTCGATCCCCAGGCCTTTTTGACAGTGGCTGCGTTTTTTTTCTTTTT